AGCAGAACTTGACTTTAAGTTTGAAATAGTTTTTCAAAACGGCGGCCGTGGTGGCCATATTGGATTTCTGATTGACCTGAAAAATAACAACACTTTGTCAGGCCCATGAGGTGATCATTCCTACCAACTTTCAGTTCAATCGGCCCAGCAGAACTTGACTTTAAGTTTGAAATAGTTTTTCAAAATGGCGGCCATATTGGATTTCTGATCGACCCGAAAAATAACAACACTTTGTCAGGACCATGAGTCGATCATTCCTACCAACTTTCAGTTAAATCGACCCAGCAGAACTTGACTTTAAGTTTGAAATGTAAAATGTTAACGGACGACGAGGCACGAAAACGGATAGCAATAGGTCACTTGAACTAAAGCTCAGGTGACCTAAAAAGTAGTGTTAGAGGCCATATTTATTTGAGGCCCCAGACGGGATACTAGTAGTCTTAAGCGAAACTGGGGGGGAAATGGACTAAAAGGTGCAAATAATAATAATAACCTATAAATGAACGAGATTGGGTTATCTCAGTTGAGGGCTAAGGTTCTGTAACATACTCCAATTAGATGCGTAAGCCAAGTTTGGAATGTTAAAGAATCTTTATCCCCAAGACTAAGATAACACATTCTATCGCTCAGTAACATACAGGTAATAGATTTTATCAAACCATATCTTTTCTAATTTGGTCAAACTATCCCAGCCACTCTGAACTAATATTAAAAGAAATGTTTAAATATAAATTTTATTTATTTTCCAACAATTATGAACCAAACTATTTCAGCTTACATTAATCATTCTTGTTGGTCCGCATGGAGGTCTTAATATGAGAGGAAACCCGAGTACCCGGAGAAAACCCACGTGGTCGCGCAGGTGACCCATACCTGTTCACGTCCGATAGTGGAATCGAACCCTGACCGCCATGGTGAAAGGCGAGCGTGTTATCCACCGCGCCAACTAAAGAACGGAAAAGAAATGTTAACATTGGATATGGACGATGCACGGGATCCTGCCGTTTAAAAAAGATCAATGTTTGTCCATAAAAGAAGTAAACATGACACTTTCCACGTAAAATACAAAAAAAAGCATCTTTGAAATGATTGAAACACTATTGATGCTGCGCTATGGATATGCTCACTTATTCTGACAATCCTACTGGATTGTGCCATTGATTTGAACAACCTCGATTGCCGTTCATGTCTGCAAACTAAGCGGCATTCGAAATTTTTTGTTCAGAATACTCTTGCCCAAGGGATACAGGACAGGCACTGCGCAATAATATACAAGGTCATTCCTATTTCAAAATTATTTTGAGGGGAGCTAAAAATGCTTCATTAAGTCGTATTAGTCCCCAACCGGTTCCCTGGGGAAACTATAATAGGTATTCACTCCCTCCCTCCATCCGTCTGCCCGGGACATATCAAGAAGCAGGTCATTCTGACCTAACTGTGACCTTTAACCTTAACTTTTTGAAAAAGTTTGTCCGGGGCATATCTTCTACACTATTTCACCTGGAGTAACCAAGTTTGGTGTTCAATGACATCTTGGGATGGCAGAGTGCAGAGTGCAAGAATTAGGTAACGCTGACCTTTGACTTTACCTTTGACCTTTACTTTTGAAAAAAAAAAATGTCCAGGGCATATCTTCCGATAATATTTCACCTGGAGTAACCAGGTTTGGTGTACAAGGACATTTTGGGATGACGGAGTGCAGAGTGCAAAAATTAGGTAAATGTGACTAGGACTTGACCTTTGACCCTTACTTTTGAAAATGTTTGTCCGGACCATATCTTCTATATACTATTGCGGAGACCTTTGCTTTTGAAAAAAAATGTCCTGTGCCTTGCAATACTTTACCTTGCTTCATTTTTTCTTCTGATTCCAAACACGAATTTCTACATGATTCTTATGTTATCATAAATCAGGACACCCAGTATTAAAAAAATAAGTCCAATTAATCACAATATATAAAATGCCAAACCAAAGACATCAAATTTCAAACTGCCTTTATTTCCAACGAGCAACAATGACTTTTCTTCCATAACAGTAATCATCCTGAACAATGCTGTTTATCATTTGCATTCCTATCAGTTCAACACATCCTCCATCATTACCACACATGTAAGCTACAACAGGTAACGGTACAACGATCAGCTTGTGCTTCCAGTGTATAGCTTGATGTAAGCTACAACAGGCAGTGGTACAACGATCAGCTTGTGCTTCCAATGTATAGCTTGATGTAAGCTACAACAGGCAGTGGTACAACGATCAGCTTGTGCTTCCAATGTATAGCTTGATGTAAGCTACAACAGGCAAGGCTACAACGATCAGCTTGTGCTTTCAGTGTATAGCTTGATGTAAACTACAACAGGCAAGGCTACAACGATCAGCTTGTGCTTCCAGTGTATAGCGTGATGTAAGCTACAACAGGCAAGGCTACAACGATCATCTTGTGCTTTCAGTGTATAGCTTGATGTAAGCTACAACAGGCAATGCTACAACGATCAGCTTGTGCTTCCAGTGTATAGCTTGATGTAAGATACAACAGGCAAGGCTACAACGATCAGCTTGTGCCTCCAGTGTATAGCTTGATGTAAGCTACGACAGGCAAGGCTACAACGATCAGCTTGCGCTTCCAGTGTATAGCTTGATGTAAGCTACGACAGGCAAGGCTACAACGATCAGCTTGCGCTTCCAGTGTATAGCTTGATGTAAGCTACAACAGGCAAGGCTACAACGATCAGCTTGTGCTTCCAATGTATAGCTTGATACTGGAGTATAATTCTATGGCTTGTAACCCAGGAATGATCGGGTCCAGAATTCTCACGAAAACAACGATTTGTACAAGAAAGGTGTGAAGGTTAAAGATATATAAGCATGTATACACTGCAGAATATCACCTCATGTTTTTAAATTTTAATAAATCATCACCCAATAAGCATTTCCTTAAAAAATCATCTTTACAAAGAATATTGTTAGAGAATTCAAAATTGTACACAAGTAATTTGCATATAAATATAACTGATTTTTACTGACTGTATTAACATTCATTTTACAAGTATTGTTGACATGTTGCTGAAAAATAAGGATGCCTTAGTTACAGGTACATTTGCAAATTGCCCTTCGTTTCTTTATATTTTCAAGTTTTGAAAGGTAATTACCCTTGATGGTACATCTTGTAAATTATATTTTTGAACTATGACAAAACACAAACTTTATTTGGTTTTTTCTTATACTGTACTTCAAAACTGAGTTCACTCAAACTTAAATGAGTGGAATAAGCCAAAACACAAACAGATGAATATGTACCGACCCAATAAACATAATGTAACCCTTGTTTTTTTCCTTAAAACAAGAACTCCTGGACAACAACCTTGATATACAATATTGACATTACGTTCATAGTGACATCAAAGTGATATGCTGATGATGCAAATTCTATTCTATTTTGTTAATGTGATGTTTAGCAGTCCACTATAAATAACAATGAGAACAGCATACAATATCATGTCCCAGTGACTGAGATTGTTCGAGTGTCCCAGTGACTGAGATTGTTCGAGTGATGTTCTATGTTACATTGACACTATACACACAAAACCATTAATAGCTTAATTTTTAGAAAGTAAATTTACACAATTCATGGAATTTGCAAGATATCTGAGCTCATACTGTACGACAATACTGTTGTTCCTAACATCAGTAATTATTTCTAGAAAGCAAATCACTAGTGTAATTCAGGTTAAGTTTGTAGCTAGTTCATGTCACACACATAGATAATAACACTGTTGGGTTTTTTAACTACTGCTATTCAATAGTCACTTGGATGTCGCAATTTCTATTGACTTTAAGAATATCACAATTATTTTATTAAATCCAGGCTGTATGAAATAATCTGATCAGAAATAGTCTCTAGTAGGATTTTAACTGCAGATAATTTTTAACTCTGGGTAAATATAACAACATATTAAATTATAGTCAACAGCTCATGTCCGATCTCTTACTGACAGGCCGAATTTTATTCAGTAGTATAAAGTGTGAGACAGTTGTATGTATATCATGCGTCTGTTATAAACGTTACCAGCAGTCTTCAGCGCTAGTTTTGAGAATAACTTCCAGTGTATATACAAGGTGTCATGTTCACCCAATCTACAGTGATACTAGGCCACAATATAATTCTGGTAACAGTCTCAAAACTTAGTCCAAGGACTATTGCGGAACAAGCAGATATTGTGATCAGTAGATATTTTGCTTATGTTTTCAAACAATTGTTAACTCAAACGAAGATTAATAAAAAAAAAGTTACAAAGTGTACAATTTGGATGGAAATACACAAGCATGTTGCCATTTATTTGGAATGTAGCAGATAGCAGGTATCCTAAATGACGAATGGAGAAAACGGTCAAATTAAGAAAAATTAAGACATAACCACAATTTTTATTTAGATGATCTATTCCGCAATATTTCTTCATGATTTTTTTAAAAGTTTGTAGAAGGTTAGCATTTCGTTGTATCGATTTTGTCCAATGGAAAGAAGCACAAATGATGAAGTTAAGAGTAATGCATACAAAGTCATAGTAGTAATACAAAAATGTCTGTTTAATTATTGCCTTCCTCGAACATTATTATGCATCTAGTAAGTGTAGCATAGTTCACTTTAAAGACTGTAAACTTGCTACACACAAAGTCAACTATGTTAAAAAAAAAAGCAAGGTTATGGCCATATATTGCATTACTAGCTTACATTTCGAACGATAGAAGGGTTAATGATCAAGGGTTGCCGACTGGGTCAATTACCTATTTAAATGTAAGTTTATGGTTACTTTGGGCAGTTTAAGGATCCCTGTCCCACTGCACTACGCTTTTCCTATATAGAGTAGCCTCCCCTTAACTGTTGTTTGGATGTTACTATAGCACATTTGGACTCTTACACTTCTGTTGTACAGGTAGCTCAATCAATTTCAGCAATGATATAACAATCGAAAGTCCCAGCAGAATATTTTACTCTCAGAACATGTTTGCTGGTTTTATTTTGTTTTCCTAACAGTCCCACAACTTTTCTTTTCAACAAGCCATTTAGATATGATACAAGGTACTGTTCTCAACAATATCATTGACATTCTTGTAACAGTCTCAAAACTAAGTCCAAGGACTATTGATAAAACAAGCAGATATTGTGATCAGTACATTTAAAGATGTTAAGTTTGGTTGGTCTAGCACTTATGATTCCAGCGAAACTAACTTAACGCTTCGTGGCGGCGAGACAAAAATTGTTTATCAATGCTGTATGTCATTCTGGAGAAATATTTTTTTAATGCACAGTTTCATTTTCTGGCAGTGGTACAGGAATCCTTAATGCAAATAAAATGCACATAAAGCTCTGTAGAAGGCCTATCTACTGCAGCAGTTCTCTTTGTACAATATCTTAACCTTCTCCATATAGCAGTTACAACTATGTAGCAATTCACTTTTCTTACAATCTGAATAGGTATAATTTACCACATTTATAATGAATGCAAGGAAATCTTTCAAAATGGCAACAGATATAATTGGGTCTAGAATTTGGTGTTTATAAGACAATCCCTTTTGTGTGAATACTAGGCTTATTTTACTGTGCATGAATATATAAAACGAATATTACCTGGAGTTTAAATGTATTCCTTTGAACACGATCAAATTAAGTACTAGTGAACTACTCTAATAATTCAAAGCTTATTTCATTTCTTGTAAATTTTGTATCAAGTTATAGTATTAGTATGGCAATTTTCTAATTATGACTAGGGAGGGACATCGTCCTATTTAAAACACAGAAAAATTAAACTTAATTTCCCTTACTTAAATAATAATGCCAAACATAAACTATTTTGATTGAACGTTTGTGAAGTAAATAAGATTTAATTATCAAATCTAGACAAAACATAATTAACTGCTTGATCAAGCAGATTATTTATGGCTATTTATGTTCATATAAAGAACAAATCACAATATATCAATCAATAAATGAAATAACCCATTGAAATATATCACAAACCTTCCAACTATCAACAAAGCACTTCATATACACATCATTTGAGTATAATTGACTATATAATTTAAATACAAATGCAAGTTTTGTAAATAAGTGGACATAACGTCATATGTATATATATATATATATATTGTATACAATGTACATAAATTAAATATAATTACAAATCTAATCATAATAATTGTAGAATATTAACACAGATTTAACACAAGGAAATCAAATAATGATGATTTCAAACATGATATATGAGATATATATACAAAAATATGAATTGGTATATACAAACATGAACAAGTATTGACACCATTGTAATACTGATAACCTAGAGACACCGGCTAAAGTTCCAGATTTCCTCTAAAACGCTCCAATAATCAAGTACTAGGAGAAATCTGAAGACCATTAAACAAAGACACATCATTGAAGCCAGGTAACATTTGAGCAAATTGCACTGTTCAAACGTCTAGAAAGCAAAATGTTCCTGTCTGTGTAAACCAGCTTTTATTGTGACAAACTTGTTTATTCCTTTAAATTGGAAATATATATTTGTGATATTTACCATGAAAGTAAATAATGACTGCAACACAATAATCATATATTGATTAACAAGTTTATATTATTTTGGCTATAGAATTTAAATTATCAAAGATGGGAAATAAAACGTTTACTTTCACTGTATAAGATAACAGCAAAGACAAGCTTATTTTGTGGTAATATTAAGAATGGCATTTATTAATGGTTTGAGGGGAAATCTGAAAACAAATTCCTTATATCTATTAATTCCTTAAGCTATTTCACACCAAAATATGGAAGTTCTTTATTTACTTAAAGTCGACTGTGCAAGTTAAAAAACTTTCATCTGAGATTTTGTTTTTCAAAGTATTTAGTTTTTCTGGTTTTGAGATCTTCCCCATCTCTTCCAACTATCGTTTCAAAGGAAGTGACGAAAATTTCGTTTGTCCTTGCTTGGCAACGATTATAGATCTCGCTGGGTATATAAAGCGCATTACCTGTCAAACCGGTTATCATTCTAAAAAATAACTGTCTTGTGATTCAAAACACCGCGCAACCGATATCAAAAACCAAACGCACTCACCTCACTTTGAAACACTACCAAGCTGGTTGTTACTTACGGCACATTCTTGAAAATTGTGTATCCAAAATAAAAGGTATATTACTGAACATACTTTTTATAAATCCCGTATATAACATCGGTCTTTCACTTGCATAGAACTGCACCAACACACAAAAACATTATTATGAACTTTTAGTTAAACATATGCAAAATGCGACACTCCCAGGTATTTAGTCAATAACGTGAAATTTAATAATTGAACCATTCTCTTGAAAATGATTGGAATTAGTATTGTTTTCACACAGGAGGATATTACTAGTTGGATATCCAAAAGGTAGGCATTAATGTTCGTCATATGTTTGCTTCTTTCCAGGCCTTTTTTTTGCAGGGGAGGAGGGGTAAGGGATTGTGCATTAGATATTTTTATTGGTCGCATTTAACTTCTATTTCCACTTTTCTTAGATAAATGATATCTTAGATGTGTCCTTTTTCAATTTTATTCAACTGATCTGATACAAAATGTTGGTAAAAAATCTTGAAAGTGTTGCTCAAAACCAGAAAAAAAAGAAAAAAAACCTCAATTGAAAGCTTTTTAACTTGCACCGTCAGCTTTAATATGAATATTTGTCTCCTCCTTAAAGTGTTTTAGTTCTTACTTCATTCTACATCTATTTACATCCAAGTTTGTACTGGCGATGTGGTAGCTGTTGATCAGAACATATTAGTATTACCATAAAAAAATGTTCTAAACAACATATCTCCAAACATTGATAACACTACAATATGAACTGCAAGGTTGAAATAATGATACTTTCCGTCATCCAAAAATAACAGGGCAAATATAAATGTCTGCATAGGGACGGCATATTAAGTTGCGTCATACTGAAACACAGTTTGATAACAAAGTCTTGTGTCCACAACTTAATAATGATGAATTAACTATGTATCAGGTAAAAAAAATACAACTAAAGATTCCCGGTTTATTCAAAAAATATAAAAATCCCAACAAATTGCATGTTTTCTTACTTTTTCAACAACAACCCAAATTCTGCTTTTGTCACAATGGTAAATACACAACAAAAGTGAATTTAAACCAGCAGCAGAAAGCTATTAATGCTAATCTATAGTCAGTAATCTTTTGAACAGAATAACTCAAAAGGTAGTATCATCCCTGTCGAAAGTAAAAATTTCTAGGACAAAAATTAAAAGTTGTAAAATATATGAATTATCATAAAACAAATGGCATAGCCCAACAAGTAAGCTAAGGTCAACAAACTGTTACCAGAATACCAGAACTAAAGTTTTTGCAAAAAAAAAGACGAACTTCTTCTATAGAACTCTATATTAACATAGATATATAATCACAATACACAAGTGTACCTAAAGTAAACTTTGTATTTGATAACTATGAAAACAAACCTTGGTACAACATTTTTGAAACCTTAAACATTGAGAGATTTAAGATTCATAACAGTGCATGGCCTAAAGGATATGTGATGATAAATTCTTAAATAGTTTACTACATTAAAAAGATAAAACTATTCTGAAGAGTATTCCATATTTTTTATGAATTCAACTGCTGATGAGAACTGCATCCACCAATACTGTTCTTCGCCAGACAGCCGGTCCCCATAGAAGCTATTGACAAACTGTATGGTAGACAACATACAAGGAGGGTTTGCCTTGATCACAACATATATCATAACTGGCATAAAGTCATCAGCCGCTGGAACGGACTTCTCATTAGCCATACTTAACAAGTTCATGATGGTGGCCGCACATCTCTGTACAGACTGCAGCTTGTCTTTAGGCGTCTGGAAAAAAAAGCATCAACATTTATTTTGGCATTTTAAATCAGTACAAGAGGTCCATTGGACCTGTATCGCTCACCTGGTTTTATATTTAAGTCATTACAACTGAATGCATTAGTACATCTTTATCTGAAATTTCCTCAAATCCAGACAAGATCTATATCTGACTTTCAACTAATCTGGGGCCTCCATTGAGTTGCCAAGTTAACAGATTTTGAAATAAGTAATATGTCATATTACAGGGTGTAATTAGACAATACTTAAATTTTCATTCAACTATAAGCTTTTATAAACCTAGAAACCAACTTTTAACAATTTATGAAAACTACACCATACAATATGATAATCTAGCTGTACCATTTCTTAGGACCGCAGGGGTCCAATCAACCTCATTCAATTAAGAAATGTCTGTTCTTCCTCAATAATGTTTTTGACCAAATTTTGTACAATCTACTTAGGCAATTAGGGGGTATTAGCATCTTTAAACAAAATATTAGATAATTTTCCTGTTTGGGGCCCGGTCTTCCTAGCCCCAGGGGTCGAACCAATCTCATTTATTTAAGAAATGATTGCCCTCCCCCAATGAAGTTTCAGAGCAAATTTGGTTGAAATCTTCTCTGGTGTTTAGGAGGAGATGCATTTTAAAGCAAATTTAGCTAAGTTCCCCTTCAGGGCCCTGCCCCCATGGCCTCAGGGGTAGAAACCAACCTCATATATTTAAGAAGTGATTGCCCTCCCCTAGTGATGTTTTCACTAAATTTGGTTGAAATCTTCTCTGGCGTTTAGGAGGAGATGCGTTTTAAAGCAAATTTAGCTAAGTTCCCCTTCAGGGCCCCGCCCCCCTGGCCTCAGGGGTCAAACCAACCTCATTTGTTTAAGAAATGATTGCCCTCCCTAGGTGATGCTTCAGACTAAATTTGTTTGAAATTCTCCTAGGTGTTTAGGAGGAGATAGGTTTTAAAGAAAAAGTTGACGACAGACAACGACGGACGACGACGGAGGAAGGACGCTGCGCCACGGCATAAGCTCACTTGCCCTTCAAGCAGGTGAGCTAAAAACTTGTTCATTTTGGCATTTTAAATCCACCAAACAACAATGATGAGTTGCTTTTGGAATTTAGAATCAAAGTTAAAAACAAACATTTTGAGAAAATAACAAGAGGCCCATGGGCCTTAACGGTCACCTGAGTCAAACAGTATTTATTTTTGCTGTTAAAGTATGTACCAATTTGAGAACAAAATAGTAAAGTATAACGTTAACTTAAGTTTGTCAAGACCATAAGCTGATCATTCCTAGACCAAGTTTCAGTTAAATCGGCCTATTAGAACTTGTTTTTAAGTTAGAAATAGATTTTTCAAAATGGCGGCCGTGGCAGCCAAATTGGATTTCTGATCGACCTGAATAATAACAACACTTGGTCAGGGAGATGTCAGTAACCTTCCAATGAAATATTAATGAAATCCCTTTGCCAGTATTTCAGCTTAAGTTGAATATATAAAATATTATTGGACGACGCACGATGCATGACGACAGACGAAGATGGATAGCAATAGGTCACTTTAGCTAAAGCTCAGATGACCTAAAAAGTAATTCAGCTTTTATTCATTTTATGAAAATGGTTCTGAAGAATAAGGAACATTGAAGTGGCCACTGATAAGGCCACTCTCCCTTCAAATGTATCTATATCTGGAAATCCTAGCTCTTACCATACTTCCTTCCACTCTCCCTTCAAATGTATCTATATCTGGAATAGCTTTTATCATACTTCCTTCCTTCAACTGTATCTATATCTGAAATAGCTCTTACCATACTTCCTTCCACTCTCCCTTCAAATGTATCTATATCTGGAATAGCTCTTACCATACTTCCTTCCTTCAAATGTATCTATGTCTGGAATAGCTCTTATCATACTTTCTTAATACCATTTTAACAAATGAAATATACAACTATATTATTGTTCTATCAAAGTTTTATTTTCTACACGAACAATGTACGCCTTATACGTGTCGCAATGTTTTAAGACGGACTGGTCCCTATGTCAAGCTATGACATAACCTTCCATAGAGAGTCATAGCTTAGCAAAGGGACCAGTTGGTCGTGAAACGTTGGGACACGTTAAGTACGTGAAATGTTTGTGTAGAAAGTAAAACTTTGATATACATATTTCTTAACAGATGAATCTAAATTCAAATCTTCACAAAAGAATTTTTGAAGCATGAAAACAAAACTTGGTAAAAATTACTAATGAACATTAGGCAAATTACAATGCAAGTATTACAATCCAAGTATTGTATTACAATGCAAGTATTACAATGCAAGGCTGCTCAAAATAAGCAATCACAGGTTAAATGTCAGTTTTATAGATTAGATGTTTCTTACAATTTTACTTTTCATTAAATATGATGACATTTTGGCCCTACCTTGTATGCATTTAACATGTAGATTTCCCTCTGAGCTGCTGTCCAGGGACACTCAAAATGGTACATCCTCGGGATACCAAGGTCCTTGTGGGTCGGCGTGATTACCTGGCTCAGCATCTTGATATGTTTGTGCAGAATTCTGAAATAACCACAGTTCAAAATTTACGTCCGACATCTTTTAGCTCATTCAGAAGTTTCGCACCATACAAAACCTGTACATAACAACTTTGAAACTTACATGTATGACGTATTGAATTTACCAGTAATAGTTGTATAAAAAGTGTTTTCCATAGGTTTACTATTAAGTCATGCTTTAATTGCTTTTATTCCCTGTTTATTGGATTTTCACATTATTATCAAAAGATGATGCTTTGATGTTGGTTCACACAAAACATCTTATTTATTAACATGACAATGCCAATAGCTGGTACGGGTCAGGTTACACTCACTGGTCCCGCATGATATCCCCGTCCCCGTTAGGAAACATGGCATGAGTGTAGATACGACTCATGATATAACGTTCCATTACGACTCGAGCATCCTCCATCTGATTGTCATTGGAAGCTGGAACATAAATTCAACATGAAACATCCTAACCAAACTATTACAGCAGGGAAATCTTAATATGCACAAGATTGCTTACTGATAAGTTGCATAGAATTCTGAGGACCTAGCCTGAATTTGCTTTAGAAAAACACAATTATACTCCGGCCACTTAAATCTATTAAAACAGTTGCCCATTATAATAATTCATTAAAGACATGGTTTAAAGACATTTACTCTGTCAGGTCTGATCAAACGGTGAAATATATGATTCTAGACAGTTTTGTGTGTATTGATAAAGATACATGTTATATCAGTGGGTGGGTGTTTATCTTACCTTGCCAGATTGGGTCCTGGTTCATGTTCTGGTACAGGTACTGAAGGAACTGTTCTACAAAGTCAGTCTGGAAGAGAATCATTGTATGTGAAAAATAAACTTTTGATCTTCTTGTACAACATCCAGACATTATTTTCCTCATAATTTTACCACAGAAATGAACAGGTATAATATTATACATAAAACGTGTAGGCAAATGAAAATTAAAACTGTTGCAAACACACTGAACATTGCTATTTAACGTAAGAGAAATCTTAATTTTTTCATCGGTGCACAAATTAGGCAGGAATTTTACAGTATCGTTACTTGCATTTAACAAGTGAAACACTATTTCTACTATAAAATAATAAAAATAAAACTCTTTACCAAGCAATCCTAATTTTTTAGTTCATGAAAAAGATGATAATGGTCCGATTGAATTTGCCTTTTTTCATTTTCAATATACCTTTTCATCTGGAACGCTTAGCTTCTGAAAGTCTGATATAAATTTCATGACACTAGTTTCCCTCTTCTCAATAAACATACGGACAAGCACACTGGTTAGGTGCCGATTGCAAACTTCCTTATACCTGTAACACAGAGTTTAAATTTGTATTTTGATCACACCTATCTTCTTACTTGCAACACATTTTTTCATCTTTAATAAGTTTTTCTTGCCTTTAAGTCAAGTTTAAATACATTTACCTGGTATAAATATAGATAAAATACCAAGAACTGCTTTGGTCACTTCATTTTCTATTCTGAATATGAAAGCCGAAAGACAAAAATGGCCATACTTTTGTAGTGAGAGTGGATTGTACAAACGGTGCATATATAGATATAGTCACCCAATATGTATATCATGGAAGAGAAAAGAAAATATCCCGGAGAGGTAAAATTTTGATGTAAAATGGCTTACTAGGTTCTGCACTTCAGAAATATGTGTATCACCCCAAGAAATTAAAAGTTGTTTTTTTCGCTGTGGTTATGGTTGATTCTGTCTCTCTGACAATTTTGAGTTATAAATATGACCATGACACAGAAGAACAGGACCTGGATGAGAATAATGGGTTTATGTGTGATGTTTCAGTAAACTGTACCTGCTGACCCTGTTGAGAAGACGTGTGACGTGTGAGAGAGTGGACAGAAGGCCTTGTCTACAGCGAATCAGGTAGGACACATACGCAGACCGACTGTGGTACTCGTCCTGTAGGGACCGCACCAACTTCTTCAGACTGAAATATATTTACAATGTCTTTATAGGGTTGCTTTGTCATCTTAGAGGCAATACTTTGATTCAGTTACCAGATGAGTGTTTCTCTTTCCTTTTTAAGAATTTTACTTACCACATAAAACATCATTAATAATGATTATATTGAACCAAAAGTCCTAATAGCCAAAATTTATGAGTGTGATATTCATGAGAATTTGTTGTTGGGGGGCAAAATATCACTACATTATGAGTAGCAATCTGCATTACTGAAGTTGGTTTACAGCATGCTGTGATGTAGTAAACTTTTTGAGTATGAACAATTCCATTTTGACAACAAAAAGAACAAAAAATAGGACTGATCTCTGGTTTCATCATATTTCACATCAGAACAAGATACTGATTCATTACAAAATCAAAACCAATGGTCCATCAGGTTGGGTCCATGTCTTTATGCAGGCTTACCCATCGTTATCAAACATTCGGACACAGCGAATGGCCTCGTGAAGCTGTGCTATCAGGTCCTTATTCTGTAGGTTTATTGCCTCGGCCAGCTGAGCTCGAAGGAGTCTCACTAGCTCATTATCCTTCCTGTTGTTGTCTCCCCGCAATCCTGCCACACCCCCAAAGGTCAGGTCCAAGGGTGTGTAACCCACCTGGAACTCAGCAGAACTCAGCACAATTCGAAGCTTGCGTTTGGCATCAATGAATGCAAAGCAATTCTCCAGATTGTTCGGATCATAATGAGGCGAGTCTGTCATGTCCTCATCCCGAATAGAGAATCTGGAATGAGACAGAAAATATGTAGGTAGAGCCAGAAAGAGAGTGTGTTTGGTTTGATAACAAACAACACTGAGCATTTATGTCATGAAGGTAGACAACCATAAAAAGTCTGGAGAGTGCAGCAGTGATTGAAAGGCTATTCATTTGCCAGTCGGTCCGTTAATCAAAGAATGTTCTAGGAAAACACAAACTTGTAACGTGTTGCTCTCCGTGCATTATATAATAAGAAGATGCAGTGAGAATGTAAACATAATGAAGATACACTGTATTCGCGATAAACTTCTTTCTTGAACTGTTTGTGAAAACCTTTTTCTTAAAATGTTTGATGTATCTTTATGAAAATTAAATTCTAAACCTTTTTTCCTTGATAGGGTTGTTGCTGAATGCCACAGTTGACGGGACAACATCCACTGAGCTTCCTGTAGCCCCACCAGACTCATTACTCTGGGATGACAAAATCCCCTGTGGCTTTTTCCTGTACTTGGCCAATATGTCATCTGTGCTCTCTAAATAATGAATAAAACATTGTTATCATCAATTCATCCTTCCTCAGTTAACCAAAAAGTTCCATAGCTTTTGATAGCATTTCAATCATCTGGTCAGTGCTAGCAGGCCTGTAGTCCGAATTATTCTGACGTTTTATCGACTTTTTTCATATCGGTCTGTCGTCGATTAACGTCATAACTCCGGCCCTCTATAATATGCGGGAAATATGCGCACCGCGCCCGGAGCGCACTTCAAACTGATATTTTAGAACCAAATTGTCACTTTCACACACATTACAAAAATTATTTTCCAACGTTTTCTATACCAACCCATGGTTTTAATGGAAATTAGGCCATGAGCAATGTCACATGACTTGACGAGATCTCGCGTTACCGAAGGTATTTCCCAACGTTATGATGTAGGCTGGCGAGATTTTAGTCACGTGGCATTAGAAGGCGGGGCTATCAAAAAACTAGAGTAAAACAGAGTAAGTTTGAAAAAATATGTTTTTAGTGATTGTATTGGTTGTTTGAGGCATGTTATGTATGTTCATCTTGTGCATAAAGAATAGATTTCCATTAAAAACATTGGTTGGTATAGAAAACGTTGGAAAATACTTTTTGTAATGTGTGTGAAAGTGACAATTTGTTTCTAAAATATCAGTTTGAAGTGCGCTCCGGGCGCGGTGCGCATATTTCCCGCATATTATAGAGGGCCGGAGTTCTGACGTTAATCGACAACAGACCGATATGAAAAAAGTCGATAAAAAGTCAGAATAATTTGGACTAGCAGGCCTGGGTCCGAATCCTGATCATTATAGTAATCAAAATGTGTCAAGCCTTTGAAAGCAGTCTATATTGTTCAGATTTTACTTTTCTGCCTTAATCAACAAACATGTCCACACTTTGTCAGGAAAACATTTTTTCTGTCTCGTATACCCTAAACACTAAACGCATGACATACTAAATAGAATGTATTTCCACAGTTGCTGCCAATGTTCAAACAATTATCCTGGCATTTTGTTCCACTATCTGACACACAAAACAGAGCAGTTGAATATGTCTTACTGAATACATGGGTCCTGTTCGTTTATGCGGAACAACCGGTTTGTCTGTTTTTAAATTTAACATTTTCAGCTTTGTCAAGGCTCTCCTGAAAGCACTATCAGATTACTAGGTCCGACCTTATTTCATAAACGAACAAGTCTGGTCCAACTGGTTCAAACATTTGGATTGCGATAATTGAAAGTGACCATGGTCAACACAACAATACGAGTCAACAGTATGTAAAGGGAGGGAACTATTGATAATGTTTCAGTTTTCAAATTTACAAGCAAAGACTATAACAAATTAAATGCTCATGGATCATTAGAGTAGTGTAGATAAGGAGTGGAATGATGCAGATGTTGTACTGACCGTCCTTAAAGCTGTTCTCCAGGGAAGACTTGGATCCATCGCCTTGTCCGTTACTGACCACAGAACTGTTTAAGTCATCTGTACAGATACAATCAAAAACTGTCTTACTAAAAATTCATTTTTCTTGAGTTTCATGTTTACATTTGATTCTTGTTTAAGGTTATTCCAAGAGTAAATTGTTTGGGGCAGAGGCAACCATCAACAGTTTATATTTTTACAAATTTACAATTTTAGACACAACAAAAATTATCAATTTTAAGAGCATCCTTGCCACCACTCCCATCACAAACTTTCACCTTCAAATACATATCTATAATGATTTGCAATTACTTGAACCCAAAAGAGTATTCATAATCACAGAGAGAGAAATTAGAAATAATTATTATATTATTGGATCTAACTTAGTGTATATAAATATATTGAAACCATATCAAGCAACATACATAACCGACTTAAGTATCCTATAAAACAGGAAGCAGATATTAGACAATGTCCATTCTATATCTCAATCATTCGAACTTGGTAAAAACACATCAAATAATACTTACTAGGATCTTCTCGAGATGACTCATGCTTGTTGCCTTTTCTCTTTATACCTAAAAGTTAATCATGTTACATATACAAAAAGTTAGAATCATTTAAGGATTGACCTTCATTTTGACTGCGTATACGGTAGTATGAACGCAGTTGGCAACGAACATATTTAACGCGCTCCATAAAGAATATGTTCGTTGCCAACTGCGTTCATACTACCGTATACGCAGTCAAAATGAAGGTCAATTCTTATATTTACATATTTTCGTACTATGATGGTACACTCAGAATAAAGCTAACTCCAATACATTTGCTTTTATAATGGTACAAAACCTCCGTAACGTGCGTAAATCCAAACAAATGAACAGCCTACAGCCTGCGAGCAGCGATGGATCTCCAATGTTACCATTATGACGTCACAATGTAAGTTACGTCATCAATAGGAAACAATGGATTCCAAGGAATCTCACTGCGTATATGGTAATGTATACGCAGTCACGGTTTACACAGCTTCAATGGGAGCGAATGTAAATATACGACAATGACTGCTTGGACAGCTTACACTGTAATTCCTGTATCTCCTAGGTTACACTGTTACCCTATATCTCCTTGGTAACATTGGAAGTCCCATACATCTCCGTTTTTGACTAGTACCATTCAATATTTTGTTGGTTTTATGGAAAATTTTAGCATGTTTTAAAAAGAAAACCAAAAAACATCATAATAAATAAATAACATATTAACAAACATTTATTTAAAGCAATTCCACTATTTCAAACTCCTGTGAACTTCACAGGAAAAATGCTACAGCACAGAAATGTACAGAAATACTAAAGGGATAGAAACCTTTGTCCAACTCTGATGAACATAGGGTAAAACGTTTGATACACATCCTGCTTGTATAAACCACCCTACTTACAGCTAAAACTCCTATTTTGCATTTCCTTTATTTGTCTTCATCAATACACGTTGACCAATCCCTCTATAATGGGACACAGGCAATGGTGACAGCAAAACAAGATATTCCTGTATTGTTTTTCTGCTACCATGAATAAAAGAAACAAAACCATGGGGAAAGATCTGGGAAAAAGCCAGGGGAGCAAGAAATGTGTAACCACTAGCCAAGTAATCTATTTTAACAACAGAGGTTACACCTACCAAAATAAACTATATACATCAGTTGACAAGTACATCTAAACCAAACTTAATCTCAACCATAGAGTTTTCAGAGCTTTTCTTTGTATCACTATTAACATTTATGCTTCAAACATTTTATAACAAACTCCCTTCTTTGTGAGCATCATACCTTTTTTACGAAGATTTTTTTTCTTTAATTTAAAAAAAAAAGGAGGAGTAATTAGTTAATTGATGATTACCGTAACGATTATAATAATGAAAATATATATTATATTGTAACTAAGTCTACAAGGTTTCGGTAATACATGTTCATGTATATGATAGATCATACTCATGTCAGGATTATAAATATAGTTAAATATATGATGTTTATATATTAAATGTTATATATTCATACATCTACCAGTCCCAGAGTGAAAACAAAGAAAAGTTTTGATAATAATAAAACATGAGTATGTCTAAATTTTAATCATGCAAATGTGTGTTAAGATTTTTCATCATAAAGATGCAAATATCATATATATATATACTATACAGACAGTAATGATATAGAACAGTAGTGAAAATGTAGCACGTCAAAGTTTCAATACAACACAGATTCATGTGACAAAAATACAGCTTGTATTGTTGGGGACTGTTGGGGATGTCAAGCAGGACCTAAATACAAAGGACAGGAAATAAAACCAACCAAATATGTGCTACAAAACTTCTACTGAATTTTGTGAATTTATAGAATACAATGCACACACACTGTTACAAAACGTTAACCTACATCTACATGTACTACCCCACTTCCTTTACAATATAAAATAACCTATCTGAATATTGTTCGGTACAAATAGAAATGGCTATTTATTCACACAAAAAACTTGAGTGTAACTTGTAGTTTCTGTGTAGCATTTTCTTTTTGTGCTTCAGATAAATGGCAGACTCAAGGGTTTTGAGTTATTTCTATCCCTATCCCTTTTACATTTGGGTGACACTGTGATCGCTAATTTTTAAATAGTGCACTATATTTACAGAAGGGTATATTTCACCTTACATATTACCTGTATTTTGTTTAGGGTTATATTTCTCTTAAAATGCATACATGTTTTCATTGTGTAACTTTCAAATGTGTCATCAGGTTAAGTTACCAAATTATTGTTCACAATAGACATTTAACTCATTTACGGTCACCCCTACATATCTAAACTGGACTTACCCAGTCTTTGATTTGGTAAGGTCCAAATGTGACTTTAAGGGTGAATTGGTTAAAAGGTTCCTAATTGTGGAGCTCTTTTGGGAAGGAGTTACGATAGATTACAAATATTGTTTTATATTTACAATTGCCACTGTTTCTGAATCGATAACGTAAGTGTAGGCAAGTCTGTTTATTTCTCAATAACTTGAGTGTAGAACGTGACCCAGTTCACCGCGTATGGATATATGTAAATATGGGCAGACTTCTTTCCGAAAACCTCGTGTCAATGTTTACAAACGCTAGCATTTAGACTACCGTGCGTTCGAGACACCAAATGATGTTGGGTTCAAGACAAGACAGATCATGTTCATGGTCATAACAATAAAGCTAGTGTCAGAAGCTACAGTCACGATTGTTCGTCGATACAAAACCGCTCCACCAGCTCCACCAGCTCCACCAGCTCCACTCTCTCATCTATGAGTGTCAGCACAGAAACGATGGCTATCGTTCCTAGAAATGTAGGTCAAATTTCTCGTCTCCCAAATGTTACATCAACAGTCACTTGGTAGTCAAACGATTTATACACATCATACAGTGTACATGTCATCTGTACAAACCTCTGGTTTGCTTACAAACAGCAATTTCAATAACTGCACATTCAACTTCCACCAAGCCTGGGCTCGTCACTATTGCTCGACGACATGGTAGCACTCTCTTATTCCCGCCTTTGGGCGCATCACTTTTAAAAAATGTACGTCCGTGGTCTTAGTATGTTCTGCTAAGTATTTACCCTAGTACCTCAATTTCATACAAATATAAAATTATTTATTCCATTACCTACTAATACAATTATGAAGATATTGTATGAAGTTAAATATGGATATTTTATGTGAATAAAAATATTGAAATGGAGGAACTTTTTTCATTTTTTGTCACGGATAAAGTGGGCGGGGTTTAGCTGTCTGTCAATGGCTTTTGCGAATGGCTGTTTCGCATGAATAAACATGACGTCAAAATAATTTTGAACGCAGATTACACTAGGTAAATGCTTGCATCCACCTCTTTTAATGGTATTATTGGTAAAAGAAAATATTGTGAATATAAGGATTAACCTTTTATTTTGTTTCGTCTATGAGATAATAAATCCAATGGAGCAGTCGGTAAATTGTTCGTAAAGGCACAATTTACCTCGTGTTCCATTGGATTTATTATCTCATAAACAAAATAAAAGGTTAATCCTTAAAAAGTTGAATGTCAATTTTTCACAGATCACTACACATACCAGTACATACTAGTTACAAAGATATGTTGTATACCGAAAACAATTTTACGTAGTTTAAATTTTGTCAAGCTGTGCCTTGGAATAAATCATAATAAATTGTGTTATTTATAACCACAACATAAATATAAAAGGTCTACAGTTACATCTATCAATTAAAGGACTCCAAGCTCCATGCAGGGATGAAAAACAAAACAGGATCACAAAGTAGAGATTTACCTTCCACACCATACACAGAGCGTACTGTCAAAAGGTAGGGAAAAAAGTAGACAAAATTACTGGGGACTTGAATATCCACAACTGGGACAGCGTCTTCATCTATGTTTGAATTTGAATTTTAAATGAAGATCAATTTCAAGTGACAATTTTTTTTTGTCCTATGTTTTAATGTTTTATATGATAATTTGGTTTAAAATCATGATTTGTTTTTGTTTTCATGTCTGGTTTCACATTTGCTTTCTTCTTCAATTAATAATTGCAGTATGATGTAGTGTGATCATAATACAAGTGGAAATCAATTACTTAAAAATATCAACAAGGTTCATTTAATTATTCCCACTATTTATATGGAAAACAAGATGAAAATAATATAAATATTATAAGTTGTAGCCTATATTACTCTCCTGAACATATTCACTAGCTTAAGTCTTACAAGATATCATGGTAAACATGAATGGCAAATTTCCATTTTCATCCACTTATACTATCTATGTTTTATATTATAAATCATCATGACCATTGCCAAAGACAAGCTATTTAAAGATACCTTGTGAGTAGTACTCCACATACAGTTGAATATCATAAAAAAGCACTCCACATACATTTGAATCATAAAATTAGTAACAAGAGGCCCAATAGGTCTGCATCGCTCACCTTGTATAAATCTCACACTTGTTACCTTAAAAGTGATCTAAAGTAAAGCTATAGGCAGAAAAATCAGTACTTTTGACTATAAATCATTCAAAAGAACCTATTAAAAGTACCTGTTACAATATTTGACCCATGACCTTGAAAGTCCAACAAGGTCATTACAATGAACAAACTTTATAGCCTTTTATCTCAGGATGCAACTTTCCAAATATCACTACCCTTGATCTTTTCTTTATTGAGATTAGGTCATTTAAAGGTTTATACATATTTGACCAAATGTGACCTTGAAAGTAAGTCAAGATCACTCAAATGAACAAGCTTGATAGCCCTTCATCCAAGCATGCTACTGGCCAAATATCAACATCCTGGGCCTCATGGTTATTCAGAAGAAGTCGTTTGAAGATGTTAAATAAATTTGACCCATGTGACCTTGAATATGGGTGAAGGTCATTCATTTGAACAAACTTGGAAGCTCTTTTCCTAACATGCTACTGACCAGATATCAACATTCCAGGCCTTATGGATATTCAAAAGGAGTAGTTTAAAGAACTTAAACATATGTGACCCCTGTGACCCTGAATATATGTCAAAGTCATTCATTTGAACAAAGTTTGAATTGTTTTATCCCAGCAAGTTACTGGCCAAATATCAACACCTTATTCCTTCTGGTTATTCAGGAGAAGTCATTTAAAGATTTTAAACATATTTGACCCCTGTGACCTTGAATTGAAGTCAAGGTCATTCACTTAGACAAATTTGGTAGCCCTTTATCAAAGCAGGCTTCTTGCCAAATATCATCATCCTGGTCCTTTTGGTTATTCGTAAGAAGTTTTTTAAAGATCGTAAACATATTTGACCCCTGTGACCTTGAAAATGGGCAAAGGTCATTCATTTGATCAAACTTGGTAGCCCTTCATCCAAGCATGCTTCTTGCCATATATCATCTTCCTGGGCATTTCTGTTACACTGTATTCAAAAGTCATTTGAATGTTTTAAGCATATTTTACCTTTGTGACCTTGAATATATGTCAAGGTTATTCATTTGAACAAACGTGATAGCCCTTTATCAAAGCATACTTTTGCCTAAATATCATTAGTCTAGGCCTTCAGATTATTAAGAAGTCTTTTAAAGATTTTTAACATATTTGACCCTATTGACCATGAATATTTGTCAAGGTCATTCATTTAAACAAACTTTGTAGCCCTTCATCCCAGCATGCTACTGGCCAAATATCAACACCCTAGGCCCTCTGGTTATTCAAAAGAAGTTGTTTAAAGTAAAAAGTTGATGCCAGGCGGACACCGGATGCCAGACGGATGGATGACAGGCAGATAGACGATGGACGACGCACCATGGTATAACATAATAATATCTCATTGTTTTTTGTAACGTTTCAATTATTCTTAATATCTACCGATCATTCTGCATTTGTCTTTAGAAACAGAAACAAAAGTCGAGAGTGAGTTTTAGGACATATCAGGTAATCAGGTAGACTATATATAGCTAGAACTCTTAACATACATAGGTTTACATGCACAGAAAATGTATTAACGTACTGGTATATTTACATTTTTTGCACTGAGTCTTCCCTAAGTAGAAATAATAAAATATTACTAGAGACTCTGAACAGACCTTCTTTTTAAGAATACACCGTATCAACATTTTATATACCATACATAAGGCTGACAGTATCATAATCAGTGTACTTCTATTTCGGTCATCATGTCCACCTAATGTTAACATTTATTGGTACTCAAACCCAAACCTTACAACATTTTGGATACATATTAGCACTTCATAGCATAATACATATCATCAGTACTGTTTGAAAAACTGCATCACATTTCCTCATCAAAATAGGAAACCAAGCAATTTGGTTCCTGAAATTTGTGTGCCTATTGACATTAAAGGATAACATTTCAAGTAGTTTTATGCAATATGTAACCAAAATGCAAGGAAACAAAATACATACCTTTGTTAATTTTTTCTTTAAAAGACTTGAAAAAACCCTTTTTCTTGTCAGGACTTTTGTCATCTTGATCATCGTCTCCATTTTCCTGTAATAATACATTTGTATTGTGCTTAATCAGAGAAACTGACTCTTATTTTTCCAGTGAAAGATTTAAGTCAAACTGTCACGTACATTTTTAAATTTCATAGTCATGTATGACCTAAAGCTGATTTGAAAACACAAACCAAACCAAAAGCTTTCGTATATCAGTAAATTGATTTTCCTTTCTTGCTTATAGCATAAAATTATGGAATAGGACAATTAAATATGGTAAGAAAACCCTGACAACCATCATTTTAATGAAAAAGGTATTTGTGGCATTAGGATTAGATGCATGGTGAGTGAAATTAGCTGTGCTTAGCCCAACAACATCACCAATGCTATGCTAAATGACATATGAAATATGATTACAAATGCAAAATATCTAAATGTTTCCACAATTTTGTTAATAAATTCATGCTACATTTTTCTTAACTTTATCATGCTTTTAATTTCCCACTAATCTAATCCCTAACAAAGCAGCCTTCAGACACCTCTATTTGATCTCTCAGTCAACTTATTTAATCAAAATAAAATAAGACAAGATATCCTTGAAGGATCTTAGCACCCACCATGAAAGGATCTTGATCATATCTACAAAACATTAATAGAATCTTCCCCTACCTTGAGGGTGTTACAGAGAAATCTCCAACCCGAGGATGATGTTTTTTGGTTGTCTAACCCGAGGCTCTGCCAGCCTCGGGTTAGAAAACCCCAAAAAATCACCAAAGGGTTGGAAATTTCTCTGTGACAATGCATCCTCAAGGTAGGGGATGACTATTTCAGTCACAGCTTCACCGACAGTAGTCTGCCATGTTTGTAAATAAAAACACATGTGGGTTATGCAAATCGTCTTTCATTTTTGATGACGTCACAATCACCAATGACGTATTTCAATGACGTCACAATTGAACACGTGCTAATTGGCATGAGGCTATCTCCCCCTAGGGGGTGACAAGCTGATCTTTCCCGGCTAAAATGGGAGACACACCTGTGAAAGGTGGGAGAAGATCTTTTCTCCTTTCTTTGCCCTTCATTTTCCTTACGGGTGTTATTACCCAGTCCAATGTTGGAAATCCTAAACAGGAATTTTGTACATTAACTTAAACCTTATAATGTCATATGAATTTTGCCGATATAGCAAATATTTTTGTAAATAAATTGCATAACTATTTGCAAACTGTTAAAATTAGTAATTCTTATATAATTAGAAATGCTATCAATGAGGGCAGAATTGTCATTAGGGCCAGGGATATTACTAACAAGGGAACAAACATATAAAAAAGGTTGCAGATTACCTTTTCCTCTGACCTCTGTGACATGTTATCAAAGCTGGCAGAGCGAGAGGACTTGGTGAAAGGAGCTCCATCACTGGTATTTCCTGACCCCGAGGAGTGAGAACTTGACACACTGTCTCGCCTCTTCTCTATCACATCCTCCTTGGCTTCATCACCATTCACTGGGCTGCCACCTTCACTGGCTGCTGATGGTGATAACAATTCATGAGCCCCAGTATTAGATACTCTCATCGGCACTGGAATCTTTAGGTCTTTGTTAGCAACTTGTGATGAAGCAGCTTCACTCCGATCAGTAAACTGTATTAGTGGCTCGGCATCCATTTTCTTATCATCGTTGTTCATGTTTGAGAGAGTGCCAATCATCTCCTTAGAGGAGGCACTACAGTGACTCATATCATCCAGTAAGTCACCAGAATCACCAGCTACAACAGGATCAAACATGCTTAATGCAGCAGATAGCCTTCGCGTGTCCACCAGTGTAGTATTTTGTTGTTCTGACAGCTTCACATTTCCCATTTGTTCGGAAAGTATGTCCAAGTCTGTTTGACTATTATTTGAACTTGGTGACCCTTGGTTATTTGTAGCAAATGATGCTTGATCAGTAACAGGACCAGCCCATGACAAAACTTGTTTATGTTTTTGTGAAGGTTTTACTGGAGCAAATCCAGTCAGGTCTAGGCTAGCCTGCTGCTGCTGCTGTGAGTGTCCAAACCCAGCAAACGTGGCCCTCTGCTTTTCCTTGGGTTTAGCACCATTGTACATGGGGTTCCTAAAGGAGAGGGAATCAGCTGAGCAGGCCCGGTCAGACGAGTGACTAGAAGACTTCGGGTCGGGTACAGACAGATAGTTGGATTGCTTACTGTGAGACAACTTAGCTTGATGGCCACGGCCCTGTTTTACAGGAACATTCAGTTTATTATGGTCAAAGTGTGAACTTGTGCTCAGTCTCATGGGCATGACTGGGACACCAGGGTCATTATCCTCAAACACACTGTCCGAAGGTGTACTGTTGGACTTAGCAAAAGGATTCTTTTTGCCCCTGGGGCGGGGCTGCGTACTTGGGGTGTAGCTAGCATTGGATGAGGCTCCACCCACTGCACCCATAGGATCCAACTGGTGGTCCTCTGTAGGGCTCTGATGACCTGCAACATACACATGTTAGGCTTATAAACAGGTGTTTGACTACAAATGCATGTATTATTTAAAGTTGTTTTCCAACTAATTTTTAGTACCGTGTATTTCTAAGCATTATTGTCATGCTTCCTGATATTTATTAAATAAACATAATATATTTACACAATATCGGGCAATATCTTTGTATTTTGATACAAAATTACATCTTGTTCTATGTGGAGATATTCTAATTCAACATCTTGGGATTATATGTGCTCCAACATTTACAGTATATGTAAAGCTAAAAATAAATACAAGCTACCTTATACCTGATCAAATGGACTACAACCATATCATGACAGGTGAAAATTAGTCAACTAAAGTACTAGTCTTGCAACTTCTATGATGTTGTGTTTATGTAAGTAACACAAGTACTTAGTTTTGGGCTATTGTGGCATTTATATTTTGTTTTTGATGGTGTTTTTCTAAAGAAATACCTGAACTATTGTAATACCAGAAAAATAACTATGTCACTTTATAAGTTTCCAATGATCATATATTACAGTAAAAAAAAATTCAGAGGCATATTGTATTATCACAAGCAGCAGAAGCTGAAACGAATCTAATTTGATCACACCTATGACATAAATATAATTTTCTTTCTGTATTTCCATATAACCTAGACCTACATCATAACATGGTACTGCATTCTTGCAGGATCACATTTATTTTAAATAAACAGCTACATGTATTGGTAATTTAAAACCTGAGAGAACATGTACTAAAATACCGTTTTAAGTAAAACAGCAGTATTAACCTTACAGCTACCATGTTCACTGGAACCTATTCCAATATTGTTTAATGTTTACTAAGCTGAGATGGTTCCATCATCATAATTTATCAATTACTTTCATTACAGACATATTTACCAGAGGCAAGAGGTGTATCTTCATTTCCAACAGTGTCCTGTATCTCGGGTAAACTCTGTTCACCCGAAATAGAAGCAAGGTCTGTTACACTTCCAACGTCATCCTAAACAAATTGCATGTATAATTAATTTTTCATTGAATTTAACTCTTCAAAATTCGACATTCCAACTAAATACTGTTTTACACGTCATCTCTCATTTAATCTACAGCCATATTTGATGTCATAACTTCCAAAATAGGTCATATAAATATAACCAGCAGGTTAAATCTAACAATATTTGGAATGATAATGGGGGGAATTTTGATGTCCTTACTTCATGAAATTTACAGTTCCATTGTACAGCTTCTATATAAACAGACCAACTCAAAACATTGTTATGAAATTAAAGAATAACATGAAGAACTGAGGCAAATTAATGTTTTCCAAATGGAGGCTGTTCTGGTCTTTCCATGATACTGTTTTAAAGTGATGCAGTAAAACATGTTGTGATGTCAAATTCAAAGAACTTCGATGGGAATTTCCCAAAGATTTTCAAGTGACATATGGAAATGGTAACCATAGAAACAGCAACCTTGTTCTAGTAAAAATGGCTGTTCTACCATTTTGTTTTGTTAACAGTTTGTTTAAGGTGGCTCCACACTTTCGCAATTAACCAGCAAAATTCGTTGAAACTTTCATATAATTGTTATGCAACTATGTCGAGTTGATTTTATGAAAATCTAAACATTCCGATAGTTTGGGGAATTTTTTGGAAAAAATACCAAAAAATTGAATTTTCGTCAATTCTAATATTTTCCGTTTTTTTTTTGTGTGTGGCATTGTTCGGAACAATAACAACAATAATAAAATGAAAAGAAGCATTTCTAATTAACCCTACAAATATTTTATTTATCGCAAAATATGTAACACATGTAACACAAAGTGTTTCTTATTGAATTTGTACGGATAAAAGTGATTATCTACAAGCTAAAAGCACCCAGGACACAAAGTTCTATACATATAGAGTGGGAAATTGAACAAAATATACACAATGGCTTTATAATTAATTTAT